TATAAAAATGTTATATCTTCTAAATATATTTTTAATGCATGTTTCTATAAATATTTTATAATTGCTCGTGTAATAATAAAAACTATTTTGTAATTATAAAATCGTGAGATGACGGCAATTCAATAGGAGAATACATAGTCAGAAGTTCACCATTAAGATTTTTTTTCTCATAAGCGATTTTTTAATGTGTTCTTTTTACTGTAGAACGTTTTGTCTTTCAATACTTTTTCTGCTTTGCTATCGATCGTTTTCTTTTCCTGAAAGATAAAGAAGTATAACTTTCTTCCCAAAGCTTAAGTGGTCTCTCTGGTTATCTTCTTGTATTTTGACCCATTTGGCGCCTTTGCTTTATTCTATCTATATGATTCCTTGTCCATCTTCTTTTTCCCGATATTCATCTATGTCTTGGACTCCATATTATTCCTTAATTAATATGTGGTATTTGATCTTGATTGTAAGAAGAAATTTAGTACTAGGCTTCTACTGAATTTTTGTTGAATCTACGACTAATGAGCTATATTAATTATATACTAAGATATTTTACATTGGAAATTAAAATGCTGAGGAAAAATCTAAAATGTTTAATTAAATTTTCGTAGAAAAAGAATCGACTCCGAATTTTATGCAGAACATATTTCCACCATAAAATCTATTCGTAAATATATATTCGCGCATTAGCTTTTGTAATATATCTAGTAGAATAAATTTGTCTACTACGCAGATGTGCAATTTATACAGGTAATCGCTTAGGCGATCGTCGATTTCGTACGGTAGTAGTCGAGTGTCGCCGGCAAATTCGTGCTTTCGATCTCCGTCGTTGTCGTCGTTGTCGTTCGCGACGATGATGGATGCGCGATTCGCTCGCTTACCTCGCGCTGAAATGCTGACGACGCGTCTCTCGTCGTAGTGATTTATCGCGAGGCTGCTGGGAACCGACGACCTTAAAAATGCGCGCGAGTCCCGCTCTCTTCGCGCGCGAAGCGCGGATAATTCGCGAATGAATTCTCGAATGCGTGTATTTCCGCGCTCGAGACGCATCGGACCTCGACGCCGCAACCGCGTTATCGGTAATTTACAGTTTAACGTTTGCCTGCAGCCGACAGTGCGACTCGGCTTCTCTCATACAAGGAACCCTTTTTTATCGTTCTTTTGACTCCCGTGACATTAGCCAGGTCAGCGGGGCGACACGCCAGATACTTCGCAGGAATTCGTCTCACCGTGCGTCTCGACGGCGTTACGTTTCTCGAGGGCAACGAGAGAATAATGCAGAGGGCAAAAGAGGGATCGGAGAGACAAGGCTTGCACTGTGTGTACTCGACTTTCAATTGGTCCGCTAAATGATATGTGAAATGCATACTCGTGGTAAAATACCGAACTGAGATACCGTCTCTACACGCAATTGGCCTTCGCGACATATTTTTCAATTTTTGTAAATGTGCAGCAAAAGTTCCGTATGAAATAATTATTAGCTGTACGTATAAAAATTATAAAATCTCAGTAGATTTTTCAGCTATAATTTTACAGGTCTGTGTAATGTATTTATAAAATATTATAGTATCTATTCGTTTTTAAAATCGCTTTGATAATTTGCGAAATATATATTTCATATATTTTAGAAGGAAAGAAATTTGTAATGGAAAATTTTTTAGATTTAATTTTACAAAAACCTTTTTGCCGTATAATTTATTTAATTACTTTTCAATAATTTACGCAAAAACACCTGTTTTATATATATAAAACAAATGTTTTTGTATTAATTTCTCTACTCGTTTTCATGTATTTTCTTGACGTCCATATTTTTTTTGTTTATTTAACGAAAATCCGCTGAGATTTAATTATTATTGCATTCAATTCCTAACATAAAATTGAAATGCGCGTCTTTATCTTAAGAAATATTTTAAGTCCAATGACTTTAAGAATCGTCTGTGTTTCTACGTTGCTACGTTACAGAAACGTCAAAACAAACGTTATCGATCACGAGAAACGTTTAGTTTCGCTACGCAAGTTAAGCGTGCAATGCCCCTTCATTGATCAAACAATATACAACGTGATACAACGGTTTTTCGGGTTAACGAGATAAAGTTTCACACATTTTGAAAGTGAATTGGATCTTTCCGTTAGCACGCGCTCATGTAAGATTAAAATCAATGATGAAATAACAACGAACTTGGATATTAATGTCTAGACTTAAATTCGCGCACGCGATTTCTTATACCGTAACATTACGTCGCAATTTACGATTAAACTTTATGAGAAGAATATTAATATTATTAAATATCGCATAATGAAGCTCTTTTTTCTGCTATTTAATATTTTTCAACATAAATTACCTCCTAAATTATTAATAATTAACTTATAAATTGCTTCCTTAAATTATAAATAATTTATAAATTACTTAAAATAATCTAAATAAAATGAAATTAAAATATTATCGAAATTTAAGATTAATTAAAATTCCTGATTGATTAAAATTCTTTTTTTTTGTAATTATATTACATAGAAACATCTACGTTATCGTTAATAATTATAATAAACCCTATATAAAGTTGTCGGTCTATCGAAAGAATGCAGTAAAATATTACCAAGTGCATAGAGTTTCTTTCACTCGAAATGCTTGAAATGCGATTCACAGATGCAACGGACAAAGAGGGTGACGAAAAAAAAACGGAAACAAAGCTCTGCTGTGGGACATACGGGATTTTTAACACGCTACAATTATTTAGCGAACTTTCTCCATCAGACTGTGCGTGTCAGTTGACTTTTACTGTGAAATTTTGCTATTTTTCGTAATAAATCCTGGATGTAATAGAACGCGATGTAAAGAACGAACAAAAATTTTGGAGAAAATGCGTCAGTATTTTCTATTCCAATCGTTAAGAATTCTCAACATGTCTAAACAGATTTTGTAATCCATCCAACACGCGTAGAAAGAAAGACGCGCGTGCAAGATCCCACAACGATCTCTGCCTGTTTATCTGTGTCGCCTAAGAGTTTTTCGTTTCCATACCATTCTGTTGAGTCACGGACTATCGCAAAAGGTAAAAATTCTAAATGCGTAGTATTTCCGGCACTGGAATTTTTATTACTATCTACTAATACTATCTATTAGTAGGTATTTATTTGAATTCTCAACAAATATATAATCGCGCACGAAAACTGTAGACAGATTTCAACTTGTTAATTCATCGTTAAGATTTTTCTAGTTTAACATTATTAAACTATTATTAATCTTATTTGACTTTACGTTACGTCACTTTATTTATATTCATTATTAAAGTTTTTAAAATGGAGCTAAAGATGTCTAAAGAAAGAACCGAATATGATTAAAAAAGCTTGAATTTTAATAAAATATGCGCTTTACCTACCGTGCTAGCACCTCTTATCTTTTCTCTAATTTATTTTTATGAAAAGACCATGTGCATTACGCATCAAAAATTTAAATTTTTATATGACACGTCATATGCTTTTTCGAGGAGCAGAGATTCAAGCATATTCTCCATTAAATTAAATCAAAATTCAGTCTGTATCATTTTACATCTCTTCGTGGTATATACGTATTATATATTAAATTTTGCATGTTCTTCTTTAATTTTAATTTTAAAAATTTCTGTTGATGTATGTCAGGATATGTTCTTTTTTTTATCACTGAATACGATAGGATAATTAATGACGACTCGCTTTAAAAATATAAATGCAAACGTGAAAGGTACGCTTTTCAATCTGAAAGTACCACGATGCATTGCGCACGAGTATGTTCCATTTGTCGGTGCAATTACATCATTCCCGAGCAACGATCCATGTATCCGTACATTGTATCGAGTTAACATCGAGATCCATCTGTTTCTGGATCGACGATTTGAACAATTGGCTATATTTATTACGCGCTATTTTATATCGGTAGCTACCAATACCGAATCTACTATCGCTAAAATTGGCATTCTATATTGGTGTATACATAAGTGCATGTTTTTTGTCTACGCTAATTGCCGTGAAGCAATAATATAATTCATGCACGAGCGCGCGAAACATGATAAAATCTGTGTGAAAAATGAAAATCCTATTACCGGTCGTCATTATACATAATTGTGTTAAATACATATATTTTTATTTAATAATTTATGAATGAAAATAAACTCAATATCCCTTTTACTTGCTTAAAAAGGGATTAAACCTTTAATATGATGACTTTGTTCTTCATAAATATTATTGATATGCAAAACACTGAACTATTATTCAGTTTCTAATTTTTTAAATAGAATATTCTTTTTCTCTTGAGAATTGGAACGAAATTTTTATTTACCCCGAATTTTCAATAGTGCTAAGGATATGTCCTACTCGCTGTAAAATTAAATAGAAAAATCCTAGTATAAATCTAAAGATACTTTTGGCTCCAACTACAAATGCTGATTAAATTTTTTCTCGGGGTGCAAAATAACATTGCAAATAAAAGATATCAAATAAACACTATAACATGCTTGAATAAGTCAACTGGATTTGTCTATAATATTAAACAAATATTCTTGAAATCTAAGAGCACACATCCATAAAATATAGATTAAAATAAAAAATATATACATATATAAAACTCTCTAAATCAGAAAATTTGGTTTCCTCGTCATTGACTTGCGATATTCGTTCACTTTATCTCTGTTCTATTAAAGTTTACTGCTAGAAAGAATATGTTTTCCGATCCATAAGCTACATAAAATATATTCATATTCCGATATGTAATACGTAATATATGCACCATAAAATATATTTATAGGTATTCGATGTTATATACTTAAAATACATAAAATATTAGAAATCTCTCAAGCTTCAACGTACAAGCATGGAACGACTGATTTCGATTGAATAATAGGATAATAGTCAAAAGAGAGAAGCGAGTGCAGAATAATAATTCATTCTTATTCATAACAAATAATAGTTCATAATTAATATCGCTTCTTTAATACTCTTCATAATTAATATTACTTCTTTAATATTTAATAATATATTATGTGCTTCCGACTTGAAAGTTGTCAAGGGAGAAAGAGCGAGCTCCTATCCATCTCCACCACTCCTTATCTGAAATGTTAATTCGAAATCCATGCTCCTTGCGTCAATTACGTGGAACTCGTGCAAGAAATCTTCAAATTTGGCATGCGATCTAAATTTTACAAATGAGTATAGTACATATATTGAAAGATATTACGCAATTCTATATAAAAAAATAAATTATTTGCAGTAATTTAAAGGCCATTAAAATAGAGAAGATAATAATCTTGATACGCATTGCATGCACTTTTCTTCACATAGAATATTTATATGAATATTTATATATTTGTAAGCACCGCAAAAATTCACGATTGCACAGCATCGCGTAACATTATATGTATATATCTATGTATATGTATAGTTCATTTATATTAGCACAGACCGCACAGGTCCTTCAATCACAACGAGTGTTGCCTTGACACCGGCAGTTACGTCAGCGCGATGAATAACATTTCATGGCTATATCGGCCCGATTATCGTCTCGATGTTATTCTCAGCCGCGACGAGTTGATGCGCATGCAGTGACTCGATCTTGCATTGATTTAAAGATAAAAAAATTGATCTTTGAAGACAGAAAAATGTTGATTGCATCTTACATTTTGACACAAGTTTGAGATAAATTTCTGATTTATAGAATCTATTTTAAATATACTTAATAGTTTTTTGGCTTTTTTAACTAAATCTTTTATTTTCTATTATTTATAAGTTGAAAATTTCAATATTCTAATTAATAATTATATTATTTGCATATTAACATGATAGAACCGTAAATGAAATTTTAAATGTAATCTGACATCAATTATACATTGTGTGAATAGAAAAGATGTGTTTATATATGCATTGATGTGATTAAATAGCATCTAAATTATCCGACATAAATATATGAGAAACAGATTATGCACGTTTACAACAACAAAAGCAAACCAATCAAGAACTTAACTTACTAAAGTAGTTCGATAGGTGAATCTATTTTCCGTAAATACGGTACGTTCAACACCGTTAAGTGTGCTTCACACAATGTTTCTTTACTAGCTACTAACATGCTAATTTGCTAGTATAAAAAGCATCGTGTAGTTTAAAACGCTAGTAAATTAACATGTTTTTTTTCTCACTAGTATGTAAGTCAAGTTAAAATATTTCAACTTTACTACCTGCTAGCGCATTAGCATGCTAGCAAAAAAGTGTAAACCACGCTTTACGCGTGTAAGACGATGTTGAGAAGGACTGCGGTAAATCTACCGTGCGCGGTATCAGACACTTCTCTTATCTGCTCTAAATAAATTGCCGTTTCTCTCGGCGGTCCGTCCTATCCCCGATGCCCGACGTCGGATTCGAGGGTGGAAATTCACGAAATGCGATTACAATGGATAATACATGTCTGCTTTACGTTCTGGGAGCGAGAATAGGGAAGCGATTACGTGCAAGATCGCGTGCAGCAACGAACGTAGCTAATCTCATCCGTCGTCTCCTTTAGCTTCTACTCTTTGATCGAACGAGTACGAGAGTGTCTTCAAAGTGGGCTTTGTATTTACGCGAGAGAGCAAACCTCTCGTTTCTCCACTTTAAACTATATTCGCGATACGACTTCCGGATATTTTCTTTTCCGCACGATTATCCGCTGTTTATTATTAGAATTATATTCGAGGAAAATACAGAATATTATTTCAGAAATGATAATTGATTAAGTGAACGTGAACAGTCGAAATTTCAATACAACTCCTTCAAAGCGTAAAAAAAAAGGATTAGAAAATTTAATAATAATAAATTTTTGTAATATATAAATAATAATTTATAATAAAAATTAAAAAGTTTTAGTGACTTTAAGATACCTTGACATGAAAACAAAAGCATTTGAATGCTATTACTATCTCGAGATTGATATAATTAATAAACGTGTGTCTTCATATATGTTTGTAACTTGTAATAGTTTGTTCGATATATAAATACAGACTAGATATGCTTGCGATAATATATGTGATGAGAGATATTTCACATCTCACTAATTTCATTCTTTATTCACGAGAGAGATATATACATGCCATTTCTACTTAACGCTAAAAGCACAGGTATTGTTGCAGTAATATATTCTTGGTGTAACTTGGTCGTTGTGTACTATAATAATTCAGCTGTAAATATCTAAGAGATAGTTCTCACACTGACTATCAAGCTTTTAACTGCAACACGTTACATTAAAACAGCGACCATTATATATAATGATAGTCGCATATTCGCCGCTAAGACAAGAAGTGCGAGTGAAAAGTAAAAGTAGGACTAGGAGTAAATTAAATTAATTAAATAAATAATAAATAACTGTTAATTAGTAACTTCTTATCTCGACTATAAATGTATATATACAGGCTTCGTAACTCATGGTCCATATTTTCAATGCTGTATATATGACATTCGCAGTTAAAAGATTAATTGGATAAGAGCAGTTTGCAACAAAGAAATTATAGAATAGAATAACTAGAGTAGAATATTAATCTATATTTTTGTTACTTATACTTATCTATATTTTTGTTATACACGACTTTGTTCTAAAAAAGTTCAACGTCAAGTTACATATATATATTTTTTTCTTTTTCTTTTTTTCTCTTTTTTATACAAATCCTTTTGTATAAATTAAATTCTATTAAGTAATTATCTGTTCAAATGTTGTTTGTTCAAAAATTGATATTGGCTTTTGTGAGATCAAAGCATAGAGATTTGTTCTCTTAACAACAGGTTTAATCGTGTTAAGCCACGATTTATCAAATCATGCCGAAATATATTACGGTGTCATTTCGATAAAATCTGTCATAAATCTCGTTAAGCTCATCATCCTTTGTCATGTGAATGCGCATTTGCGCCATAAATGAATGGTTGTCGAGATGCTCACTCGAGTTTTAATCGCGGTAAATCGATAGAGTTTTTGCCGCGATGCAAAGCATACGATAATTTCAACCTGTCGAGCTAATTTTCGTTATAACGTTTAATGTAGCTTTGGCACGAACAGGCATGCGTGGCATTCCAATTTTGTCACTGCTTCATTAGCCTTTTGTTAAAATACATTATCTATATATTTGAACATCATTAATTCACTCATTTAGCAGTTGTCAATATGTTTCATATATCGCAATTCGTTTAACGCATAAAAATAAACGACAAATTATAATTGTTAGTTTAATAAAGAATTAATTTTCAAGAAAGAATAAAATATATTTTTTCTTTTAGCCGTTACTTTCTATTACGTGAAGCGAAAATATTAAGACCGAACGATTTATTATGTACAATTTGTTAACTTTATTTGTCGTTCGCCCGCTCGACAAACCCTTACATTCGAAGTTACGTCCAATCCGAGTCTTGATTACGTCAATTTGCGCGTCACCATGCCCGAGTTTCTCACGCAACTCCGGCCGGACTTCTCGCCGAAATCCTCGTGAGGATCGCAAGGTCGGTCGAGAGGACGAGATTAGGGGAGGAACACGAGATCTAGGTCAGCGTTCCCTTTATTCGACTCTCCTTTCTTGGCTCCTCTCTCGCGGTCGAGACTTCCACCTCCCTCCGTCTCCGTTCCTCATTCTTCCCATTCTTGACTATGCGCGATAGCTTTTCCGGATTCTTCCGAAAACCGTTATAATGCATAACGAAGTATCGCCAGCTACCGAAAAATGCTGGCGACGCTTTATTGAATGTATCCCCTAGGCTGCTTTCACGGAAAAAAACTCGGATTAGATAGCAGCTCGGCCCGCTGGGATAAACCAGACATGGGCAGTCTAAATAGAAAGAACTAAACGACGTCAAGGTTGTGCTATACTCTAATCGTGCGATTTTAAAATCGATTCTCGCGTGGAAGTCTCATAGGAGCTTTCGTGTGCTAAATGTTTCGAAATATCGTTTAGAAGCATTTATGGATTATATTCGAAGACGAACGAATAGTGTCAAGGATATTTTCAAATTAAAAATTGTATGGCAAAATATTTCCAATCCAATACAGAAAAAAATCGATAATCGTTTTACTTCAGAATTATATATGCAATGATTTATGCTTATTATATGGCTTTATATTCGTGTACTGCTTAAAACGTAATTGTACAGATTAATGCAAACAGTCTTTTAATTTCGATCTTCTATATACTTTGTTAATTAATTCTAATACAGATTTTGTCTTCTTTTTTTTTTCAAACTTTTACAATTAGTTCCCTTTAATTCATATAATTCTATTTATTCGGGAGATAGAGAAAAACAGAACGAAAGAAAATGCATCAAATATTTAAGCCACGTAGAATAATCCACGCGCGCAAACAAGAAACACAATTTTCTGCTAGCTTATATGTATACCCTATAATAAATGTGTACACTTGCTATCTCTAGTCGTTGCGTCTGTCATACACGACGTCTATAATACTTGTAATCGTATGTGCATGTGAGCAACTTTTCATGCGCTTCACGTTTCGTTTGGTCACGCGTCTTAATTTTAAATGATTGGGACATCGAACATGTGTAGAATTTGTAAAGCTTTTAAAGAAACTGCACAGCGAGTGTTACCAATGGCTGTTACCATTGTATCGATCAGTATTATTTTTTAGTCGTAGAAGGATTTAATTCTTTGATTTGAAACATGTGTATTTCTAATTATTTTTCTAAATCAAATCTTTTTATAATGATTAGCCATATTGATAATGAAATCATTCATATATTTATTGGTAATATAAAATTATCTAGTTTCATATATTTATTTATTGACAATATATATTTAATTGTTATATTTCTGTTATTTCCTGATTATTTGAACAATGTATGTGACATATCACATCTTGTACAGTTTTGAAATGTAAAATATAACATTTATACGTGATCGGAAAAGATTTAAGCTCGATGTGAGTCACAGATGTTTGAATGGAAAATTTAACTTTTAGATCGATCAGCGTAAAAAACACATGTTAAATATGTTTCATTAATCGTTACTTCGAGCAAATAACCGCAAAATTTCAATATATTTTATGCTAACGAAGCGATTAAAGTGCATAAAGCGTAATGTAACTGTGTTTCATATAGCCAAGTAAAATCCGGAATTATCTTAATTTTATGTTAGTTTGCAGTTTTACAATAGAAAGTTTACATAGAAATTGATAATTTAAAAAAATAATTTTTGAGGATTAAAAAATTCTTTTGCTTCACAGAATCTTTTAAGCATAAGAGAATGTAAAAATGGTTTAAAACATGTATATTATAAATATGTATATTAATAAATATATGTACTATTTAAATCAACTGACTACGCCACTTGCGTTGTTGCAATGGACAGACCGAAAATAGATTCAACACGAATTTGATCACACTTTGATTTTAGACAAATCTTTTCAATCCCGCTTTTAATAAAAGTATTCTAATGTTTCTTTGTAAGACTACGACATCGTTAAAAATAAATTAAACTTTGCGATTTAACCGGTGATATGCCATTTCACTTTGAAGAAATGTTTTAGAGTCGTTTCTCTACTAATGTTTTAGAGTCATTCTCTACTAATTGCTATTTAGATGTCAGGATTTTTTCCTTTTTAATGTTGGAGTTTACAGCAACATTAAACCTTATGTACCTGACATCTATTAATTTTCATCAACGCGATCTCTTTTATTCGTCCGTCGATGGCGTTGTTTTTACGCTAACCTTTCGAAAAAACAGTAACGATGTATTCTTCTTTAGGTGTGTGAAGTTGGCACCTTTATTATGATATAGTTCGGAGTCATTCAGAACAAAAAGAAGAGTCTTTGATCATTTTTAAAAATAATCTCTTATCTCCATTAAAACATTGAAAATAGACTTTGAAAAATGAGGTCACCAACTTCACGATTTTTGATACATTAAGATGAAATAGTTTTGAGTACTGAGAGTTTTGATGTTTTTTTGAATACTTACATAGTTTTTGATATTTTTTTACAAGCATTTTGCGGTTTTTAATTTAAAAAATTTACTTTGAGAGAATATCAAACATACGTTGAAATTTTGACTTACACTCGATAGTTATAATCGCGAAAATCACATTACTTATATTATTATTATAATTTCTAAATGTCAAAATTTTTAAGATTAATTTTATTAAAGATTAATTTTGAAAATTCCTCGTTAAATATTTCTGAAAGTGGATATAAATTGAGCGAACGAACAACAAGAGAACGAACAGCGAATGTTAACTATTAACGGATTCATGTATGCATTGTAATGATTGTGTGTTCATGTAACCAATTGATTCGCGTTTGGGCCGACTCGCTCTTGAAGCAGTACATCAAGGAAAATTTGCAAATGCCCAATATGGATGAGAGTACAATCCAACGCGAATGTTTGAACACTCATTTTCGCTTTCCGTTCATTATTATATTCGCTATTCGCTCACTATGTATCCAATTCAAGATAAATTGTTATTTTGCATTAATTTAGATTACAAATTTATATATTTTTATGATAAATAAATTTATATCGATATGGAGACTTGATGCCTGACTATATAAAAATTAAAAATATATTAAAAATTAATAATATAATTCGTTCATATTTTGTATCGCACTTTATTTTATTGATATTTCAAAGAATTACAAAATACAAAATAGTTAAAAAAATAGTCAAAACCAACTTTCGACTTTAACACATTGCAAATCGTATAAGCTGAATTTTGAGCAAAGTCCTGTTCTCGTGCGTATCAAACTGTACATGCATTAATTAAAATAATTGTAAGTTTGTTCAATATGTCACACGAGAATGAAAAGGTTAATTGACATTTTCGAACATTTCAAAAACCGAAAATATCAATTCATATTTCCGATATGCAATGTATTAAGATATTTTAATTTTGTTAATGTCATTTAATGCGGAAATCATTTGTATCCGTTTGTATTACTTTTTATTTCGTTTATACTTCAAAGGATTCGAAACTACAGCATTTTTCAATTTTTGATGAATGCTAAAATGTTAAATTATCTATTTTTATAAAATATTCTTGGAAGTACAAACGAAACTGATACATATAATGCGGATACAAATATCTTTATCAAACAATCATATTACTTTTGATAAAGGATATTTAAAAATTTTAAAAATATTGGACTTCTGTACCCTTTGAAATACAGACAAAATAAAAAAACATAAATGGGTACAATTTTTCGTTGGTCATTTTAAAATATCTATAAAACAGCTAAATTACTTCTTATAAAGGATGCTTAAAAATTAAAAAATCTAACAGATCTGTTTTTACAATACAAATAATATAAAAAGTGAGATAAGGGATTCTTTATTGAATCCTCATCGGCTATTAAGTGTTATCTTTAGAAAGGCAATTGCCCTTTATAAGAAATACTTAAAAATTAAAAAAAATGTATTTTTGTACCTTTCGAGGTATAAATGAAATAGAACGTACAAAGAAGTACAAATGATTCGTTATCATTGTATGTCTGTACAAATATTGTACTTCAGGTACAAACAAAAAGAATAAAAAGTACAACTGCGTGTAAGCGACTTTATTGAATCCCGTTGGCTGTTCGACGATGTCTGCAAAGACGGCTAAAGTATCCCTTATAAAAAATACTTAAAAATAAAAAAAAAATATTTTGTGAAACGAAAAAAGAACGTGGTAAAAAATGCTACGGACAGTAACAAACAATTCTCTGCTGAATTCTAAGATGCAACAGAGGATAAATAGTTAATAACTAATTAACAGCTGTTTAGTAGTTAACAGCTGTGAACTACTCTTTTTTTAATAATAAAAAAATTACTCAATTATTCTTTATAAGAAATAGTTAAACATCAAAAAGTTATAATTTTATAACTTTTTAACACAAAAACAAGACGGAAAGTGATACAGATGATTGGAAATGACTTTCTGTTCAATTTCATTGACTGTTTATCGATATCTTAAAAAATGGCCAAGTAATTTATATTAGAAGAAATAATTAAAAATAAAAAAAATTTTAATTAAAAAATATTCTGTGATGACACAAATGATATAAAAAGTACAAACGAATACGCAATTTTATGTCGAATCCCGTTGACCGATATCAAAATTGCCAAGTTATCCTTTATAAAAAGTATTTAAAAATAAAAAAAAAATATTGTATTTCCGTCATCATTTAAGATATAAACAGAATAAATGTAATAAAATAAAGATGGGAATAAAAAACACACATTCTCTGTCGAATATAATATTAATGAAATTGAAATTCTTAAAGTCGCATGTTGGTCATTTTTTAACTTTTTGAGGTACAAATGAAATAAAGTGCAATACAAACAGATAGAAATGAGCTACAAAGAAAGAGAGAGATTTTATATATATATATATATATATATATATATATATATATATATATTATTTTATTTTTATTAAGTCAAGCACCAGGCTCACATTGGTTCATAGCATTTAAAATGAAACTGATTTTTAATATATATATATTCTTATTATGTATTATTCAGTAAAAGTATATTAATTTTAAAAGTTTGATATTTTTCAGAAATTATAATAACTAGAGCAATGCAGTTTCCGCGATTAATAATTTAAATTTATTTATTGATTACTTGTCTCATTGAGTGTAATTCAGAATTCCAATATTAAGTTTTTTAAAATATATTTGATATTAGAAGTAAGTTTTTTAAATTTTAAATTAGGTCCGCAAAATTCTTGTAAAAAAGTATTCTTTATAAAGAAACCTAATTATTCAAACGAACAGCAGAACTGTGCTCAGAATTATTTATCTTTAATAATAATAAATTTATTTTATTTATTCTTGTATCAAAACTCGTAAAATTAATACAATTTTTAAAGTTTGCTTTTATTGTTATATTGTGCAGACGAAATGTTTTTTGTAAAAGTTATTAATAATTCTTTCATTTGTTCTGAACAACTTCTAACAAAACACTACATGGTATCCTAATATAGGAGCGTCAATATTTCACCATTCTTTTTCTTTTCTGTCAAGGTTATCCCATAAATAAGAGACAATTCCATTGTATTTTTATAAGTTGTTTCTTTATGCATCGTCACGAAACGAAAATTTCTTTGTAAAAACTCCGTTAGAAATCCGTTATTTTTGTAAAATTGAAAAATCTTTAGTGTCGTATTTTATAATAGTATAAGTTAATATAGTTATTTATAAAAAGATATACATATTTATAAAAATATACATATTTATAAAAAGGTTTACGAATAAATTAAATTTGATACTAAAATAACAAATAATTATTTAATCATTTGAAGGAATATATCGAATAATATTATCGTGAGATAGCTTGAATCTCACGATTTACTTAAATATTACAACAAAAAATAAATAAATGATAAATCTAATATTTTTATTACTTACGATTTTTTCGCGCGGCGGTTCGCAACAATTCGAATGATTTAACAGCCGGCTGATGCACTTTGGCTATACCCTGGCAGCCGACACGTTGCACTTCCGCTGTGTTTGCAGCCTATTGTCTCGTTCCTTTCGAATTTAGCAGCAGTTAAAACTCGGAATTCGATTTCGGTTCACTTTCACAAACGAAGTTCGTAGCGAGTCAGCAATTTTCCGAATCATATATTGTAGAGACTGAAATGCACAAAGATTGTTAGAAGAAGACCATTGGTCGAAAGGTGGCTTTTGTTCTCGAAAAAATTTTCAAATTCTTTGGTCAACGAGGTTAATACAAGTTTATACGAGTATATTTAAGATTGATCGATCTAAAAGTGCATCTGTGAAATGCATTGATTCTTCGTAAATTTTATTCTGTGCACTCATTTCCGTTCACTTATATTGGTTGAAGCAAAAGTATTTTTACATTAAGATTATTAAGGAAAAAAAGAATATAAGAAAAAGAGAAAACATTAATAGTTGCTAATGAGTTCTTATCAAATGACTAATAGAATATATTTCAACATTTCCTTTAGAAAATTTTGTTTTAATTATTCTTTGTGAAAGGTTACTTTAAAATAACATCAATAAAATCATTATTATTGTTATTGGTATTTTTTTAATAACTTGATGAGTATATCAAAGAAAAAGACACGTGCACGAGTTATTGAGAATTAATTATTCTGATTTCATAAAGAATATCGACACTATTTTTTATAAATTCACCTTGATTTTTACACTTTTTTAATTCTCCAACGGAGAACTAAACTACTTTCAAAGCATCACAAGTGATATCCGCAGAGATCGTCGCGATTGATTTTTTAAGCAGTCGGACCAATGCGTCAAAGAGAAAACACAGGCGCGTATGCACTTCTATGAGACTTTCGCGATCATCTTAGCAAGATACTCGCCTTAATTATTACACACTGTTGTGTTATCTCGCGCGCTACCACTTTCGAACAATCATGAATGAAAATCGTTGACGTTCACCTTATTCATTTCAACATCGATCAAGTGAATGCGTCAGGAGCAACATTCTCGCGATTTATATGTATTTTTTTTCGGAGCAACACAAGGTTAACATTAATTCACGAAGGAACGCGCGTACACGAGAGACCGCAGTCTTTTCGGCCAGAACACCAGAGTCAAGTCAGGTGTGATAGACGCGAGAAATGCAGGGGGATAGACGATCGAGAGACGAATGAACGAGCTGAGCGCATTCGCACCTGGCGCGGTGCGACACGGCTCGTGGCTCGCGAAGAACTGGCGAGCCGCGCGCCAACGCAAACTCACCCGACCGCCCCTTTTCAACCGACGAGACCGACCGAACCGCCGCTTCAAGAGCAGGTACCGACACTATCCTTGTCCCTGTTTCACCCGCGCCGTCGCAGCCACCATCCCCCTACCCTCGACCGACCTTTCGGAGCGTGCATCGCTATTTACCCCCGGATTTATCCCAGGTCCGGATCGACGCTGTCGGGGTCTCGTCCAACATGCTCGGCACCTGTCGAACGTTTTATTTGCATGCGTCTTTCTCCGGGTTTTGTTCTTGCGAGCAATTTCATTACGCGCCGACAAGTCAATACGAAGAATAAAATGATGCGATAGTTTACTGCAAATTTCCAAGTTTGGTAATTTTATTTAAATTTATTTGTGCAAAGAACCATTCAAATTTATATTCATTTGTTTTCTTTATCATGAATTACTTGTTTCTGTGATCTTTAAAATTACATTAAATTTAGCATAGCAACAAATAAAACGAACGTTATTGTTCGATATAAAATGTATTAATATGTGCTATGAGAGAGATAAATTGCATTTGGAATAATTGCATTTGATTTGCATTTGATTTATTTTTGTGAAACAATACATTAAATAAAATTTGAGTTAATTTAACTTCATCAAATAAGTAACAATCCTGAATATGTATAACACAAATAAATAAAATTATCGCGATCATAGAACAAAACATGCAACGTATACGATTTTAAAAACGCGTATAAAAAATATATTGAACCAAAATAAAGCATGCAAGAATTTTTTACATATTGCAAATTTTATACAAACTAGTTCTGGCAGTAACGTAAAATTATTTGCTTTAGCACAGATGAGATGACGTCATACGTTATATAGGTTTATAGAACGAGACTAAAGCGCTAATGCTACGAGCATGCGTCGATCTTACAATACATAGTAGAATGGAAACATGTAGAATGAAATATCAGCCGATCGATACGTAATAATCATTAGCATATGATATTAATTAGCTTTTTTTCGATATATTCATGTGTATTAAATAACTACGGCTGATACAGCCAAACAAGTATCAAGAGTAAAATAAAGCAGACTGTATGGTACATCGATTGATACATAAAACCATTTGTTATTTTCTATAGCCATTTATTACAATTGCATGATAAATCATTTATTTATTTACGATGATAAACTCATGACTATGTCGAGATAACTATCGATTGTAATCATACATTACTTCACCCCAGGCATTCCGTTTTTTTTAATGCTCTATGATGGCTACAATGCATGCCTCAATATTTATCGTCGTAATAAATTAGGACAACGCACACAATGAACTCATTTTTATATGAGTTAGATTGAGTAATTCAATTGAGTGAATCAATCTTGAATAAATCTCAAATCAAACTAGACAGAAATAAAGAGAGGTGCGGAGTTATTGTTACTTGCCTCGAAATTTTCGAGGAATAACGAGCGTTAAACGTGGTTATTAAGGAACGGAGAATTAATTGCCCGCACCAGAGGAAAGTTACCGGCATTTGAAACAGTCAGTTCGTCCCAAAGCGAACCTGCAAAAGTAGTTAACGCGGTTAATGGCAGGGCGTGTACCGCAAAGTAGACGAATCTCGGGACGATTAATATGCAGTTGATGTGCGCGAGAGCAACGGGAATGTGTCTTTTGTGTTCGTCGGACTATTATAATTATTTGTCTAGCAAGAAGAGAGCGGGAAGATGTATAATACACCGGTACCTCATCTTTCGCGCTCGAATCACGGCTTCTTTCCTCGACTTGTTCCCGCGTGCTCATTTCTAACATTTACCCGTCTAGCTCGATTTGCGAACAAAAGGTAAGCCACAATTGCGAACAATAAGAGAATCTTAACGCGTTCCAGTGCTAAGATTTGACTTCATGCCTCGTGAAGTTTAATCTGCGCCGACAGATCTCTCTCTTCTTCGGCGAAATCATCACCGGTCTCAAATCAGGGGGAAATTCATGATAACTCTAGCGAATATCAATTTTTTTAACATTTATTTATTTGTATGTGTCAAATGTACTAATGTTTTCTTCTATTTCTATCTTTGCATTCTAAGATGAGAAATTTTGGAAAGATATTTTACACAATTTTTTATTAATCTTTAGAAAAACTGCTCTTATTCAATAAAATTTGCGTATAAGTTTTAAGATTACGTGCAATCTGTTTCTCGATAATATCGGATAATATCTGATGCCGAATACCGATAATATGATAAAATATGGAAAAACCGAGCGCAAAATGATTTATCTGTTGGATGATAAATAATAATTTTTTTTTATTTTCGCAAAATGCAAGATCGAGCTATCTGTTGGTTATAGAACATGCGAATTTTTGGAGAAAAACGGCTAAGATGACGCTTACAAATATATAGCAATTGACAAGGAGACAACCGCATTTGCGAGAAAATAGAGTAATGATAAAAGAAAGAAAAACTTTTCCCAGTGGTAAATAGGATCGATTCTTCGCCAAACAGTAGTCTTTATTTATAGTTCGCATTTCGCACATTTGAAAAGAAAATTTTAAGAGAAAATAACTAAAATGTACTTAAATCAGCGAAGTATATGTAACATAATATATCACATTACTATAACATTTAATGCACGAAGACGTTATTTTAACTTTTAATGTTACAGTGAAATTAAATCTGAAAGATCGCATCACACATATTTTATAAAATAGGTATCACTTTGAAAGGATCGATTCTACGGTTACAAATTACTTCATATTATATTACCTGTGCTATTATTTGAATTTATTAACGAAATTCAAGATTTTAGATATTTTCGATGAACTGAATTGACAGTAAATACTCTGCAGGATAGATATAATTATACAATTGATTTAAGAGAAAATTAATTTATCGTAATATTTCATGAAATTGTCAAAATAGGATTATCGTGATATCTTAATGCAAATAAAGTTTGCCTTTGAAAATAGAGTTATCCATTAAATTCCCGAACATGGCTCATCCGTAAATTATATATTCACGGTCATCATACATTGTATATTAAAATGTTCAGATATTGCGTTACGCAAACAATAATATTAGCTACGAAATAAAATACGCGACGGATGCCATCAACGTCCTCGTAAATACCAGTTCGTCGCGGTCGGATCGGTATCTGAAATTCACTTCGATGCATAAAGTTTCGCGCTCGAATCTCCAACGACGGATACATTTTACTTCTACTTTATTCTTCGTCGGAACTTTCTCACTCGCAGAAAAGCGTGTTCACATTTCTCTTCCCCTTCTCCTTGTCCCCCTTCCTCTTTCTTTCTCTCTCTTTCTCTCTCTTTTCGCATACGAAAAGAGGAAAACGCGATTTGAATCTTTACGCTGTTCGACAGGTCGCTCGGATTATTTCCTGTGATTATTCGGGAAAACGAACATTTTCTCTCGGTCGCGACGTAAATTCGTTTTTCTAATCATGTAGAAGTTGGGAGTTTAATTCAAATTAACCGAGCGAAATGGAAGCAGGCGTGTCAAAGAACTTTTACGACTTGCGCATATTCTAGTTTTGCACAGCTTGAAGGGGATAACTACGGTTTCAGGGACGTGATTCGTAACAGCAAGGAATAATTCCTTGATTCTCGGATTTCCTGATTCCTTGATCCTCAAATTTCCTGATTCCTTGATCCTCGAATTTCTCTCATTGCCTCTCGCGAGCCTTGTTTCGTGCGATTCTATAACTTGCAGTGTTGCATCACATATGTTACATATGATACATAGACATGCAAATCGCCCAATAGCTTCTATTTACAGATCAATAGATTGCCTCTAACTAACACAGATAAATGCTTGTGAATATTAGCAACAAATTACAATTGCAATGCAGATAGATGCTCGTGAATATTAGCAACAAATTACAATTTTGATAAAAATGAATAATTAATGAAGAGTACTTAATAGATAAAAAATGATTATTAATTCAGACACATATAACTATTAATGAATATTAATTCAGACATATAACTATTAATGAATATTAATTCAGACACATATAAATATTAATATTATACAAATTATGTAATATCCTTATTTAAAATTTATATTAATCTTTTATATTAAATATATATTAATCATACTATTATATTTTTTTTAAACATATATTTCTCTTTTGGATTTACGTGTAATTCGGTACGGCATAGAATATTAATACATATAATTCATTGAAAGCGCTATGTATTTCATGCTGCAAAATTTTCACGCAGATATTATATTCGTTAATATAAATGATATTACTATTAATATTATATTTTGTAAGCATTGAATAAAATATCCGATGGATATTTGCGTGTGTAAATCATCAATAATATGTGCTGTTTTGGTATATTGCTAATAAAAGCTTTATAACCATGTCATGGTATAACACGTACGCGTTTATGGTCAATGTCTCTTTTCGAAGGAGTAGACCAGTAGACTGTGCGCTGCAGTTTCCGAAGTTCCATTATCCTCCGGCCTCGTACTACCTTCGAATTTAGCAGCAGTTTCGCGCACACGTGGAACTACATTTATAGCTCACTGAATTCTGCAGATGCGACGTCGGTCAGAAAGCATTTCGGATATTCAGAAATTTCCACAATTTGAAAGATAAAGCTTTCAAGAATAATATGAAAATAATTTGAAAATAAAAAGAGTAAGGAAAATAAAAATTATATAAAGATTGAAGAAGAAATATATACAATTATTTTGATTCATCTTGACATGTAGATTTGTACTTGAAGGATACATATATTTTTATTCCCGTTTTGAAAAATAAGTTATACATGTATAAAATATAAATACATGTTGTGTCAGTGTGTTTTTAATTGATCTACTAATATTATTTATATATGAAAGCATATTTTATATATACATATATTCGTTTCTAGAAATATGTCAAACATAGCTTTTGCGATTTTCCGATGAGATTTACAACATGGTTATGCACAGGATTGTATAATATTTTACTCGTTTGTGGTATATATGCAATATGGTAAAGTCAGCGACATATGCAAGCACTTAAGTTACAGCTTGTGT